TGGAAAACATCGCTCGGTAATCTGAGCAGCAGTGCGAACGCTCCTGTACTGCATGAGCTCTCTGATGAAAACTGGCCCTCAGAGTTTGCTTAACATGCTTTTTCTTGGATAAAAACTCTAATGTTAGGAATAACTCTTGGTTAGACGTGTGGGATCAAGTGTGTTTCTAAAACAACATACTGAATCTGAAAGAGCTTCCACCTAAATGCAGTTGGGTTCGTGTTTCTCGGCACATTCACACGCTGTCGATTATTCTCCATATGTCAGTGCAGGTCAGAGGTTTCAGGTTTTGATGTGGAAAATGTGAATGTTTTGTTCTGTGTGGAAGTTGATGTAAATAGTGAAGCAAAACATTTGATAAACGTGTGGAAAGATACACACATTAGCTTTAGCGTGCTCTTTAAACTGCCTTTGGCTTATGCTGTGAATTGTTTTACACTAGTTTTGGATATTATTCAGCTTTTAATGGGAAAACACGTAATTAACTAGAAGAAGCTGATTGACCTGTTTATTCTGTAAACACTCAATATCTCATATGCTCAGGTCGCCAAAGCTGCGGTTCAGTAGTTTACGTTTCTTTTCAACTGGTTCTCATTATGTTGCGTCTGTGAGTGATGTACAGTAAATGCATTTCTGTTGACTGGCTTTTCAAACACACGAGCCGATGCTGTTAGCTGCGGCTAATGTTCCAGCGGCATGTCTGGATGCATTTGAATGTGCATTTAGCTTGATTTCTGCTGATTGATAAACACTTACGCGACATCTGCATCCCAGAACTAAAGCCCCTTTCACATCAGTCACCTCAACACACCACTGCATTCAACTTATGCAAAGCGCCCTGTTCTCATAAACAACTTAAATTTTGGTCTGTTCCTTAAAAAAGCTATGAACAAAGTGCACAAAGTATACATGCTAATCATGCTAGAAACGTGCTAGTAACTTACTAATCATGCTAAAAAAAGGCTAACACCATGCCAGTAAAATGCTAATCATGCTAGTAACATGTTAATCATGCTAGAATCATGCTAACAACATGCTAGTAACTTGCTAATCATGTTAACAACATGCTAGTAACTTGCTAATCATGCTAACAACATGCTATTAACTTGCTAATCATGCTAGAAACATGTTAACAAAATGTTAGTAACTTGCTAATCATACTAGAAAAATGCTAACAAAATGATAGTAACTGGCTAATCATGCTAGAAACATGCTAGCAACTTGCTAATCATGTTAACAAAATGGTAACATCATGCTCGTAACATGCTAATCATGCTAGAATCATGCTAGTAACTGGCTAATAATGTTAACAACATGCTAGTAACAGGCTAGAAACATGCTAATAACTTGCCAATCATGCTAGCAACATGCTAACCACGTTAGAAACATGTTAGTAACATGCTAATCATGCTAGCAACCTGCTAGTAACATGCTAATTGTGCTAGCAACATGCTAGTAAAATGGTAATCATGCTAAAAACATGTTAGCAACATGCTAGTCATGCTACAAACAGCCTAGCAACCATCCCAGATACCCTAGCAATATGTTCTATACCTATCTGTTTTTCTGATAGACTGTATTGCCTTGAAAACATTCAAAATGTAATCTTTAAAACTATTTTAACTTTCGAACTACTTTCAGACTGCAAGCTTTAAAAACTTTTTCAAACTTTCTAGCTAGGCCAACGTAAACTTTTTCAAGCCAACGTAAAGTTTGTAAACAAACATTTCAATCTAGTTTTATTTATAAGCTGTTCCCCCAAACTTTTGAATAAAGGGGTGTCTGTTTGTGTGTGTGTGTGTGTGTGTGTGTAATTCATACTTTTATTCAATAAAGACACATTAAATTGTTAAAAATGGACAGTAAATCAGTTAGGGTAACTGTTAGGGAAAGTTACTTTTTCCGAGTTTTATTTTGACAGACAATATTGTGTTAGTCTATAAAAAAAAATTACTAATTGCATTATTTAGTTAACTTTTTATGAAAAATGATGCATTACGTTACTTTTGCATTACTTTTTGTCACCTGAGCTGGGCTTGTTATTCATTTTTAATAACAAAAAATAGTTATGTTTTTGGCCACCGTAAAGGCCGTTTCACACCAAAAGTGAAATTTATAAGTGTCTCTGCCTCTTCACTTCACTCCCAATTCCTCACAACGGTGACAGGAGAGCTGTCAGTTAAAAAATGGGAAAACAAAGTAACTTGCGTTACTTATTTGAAAAAGTAACTCATATTTTCTCCCCCATTTTCATAGCTCAAAAACCTCATTCTCCATTGCAAAATATCTTGTTTGTATTTCACAGATGAAAGTCATACAGAATCTGAACGACAGAATTTTCATTTATTCCTGATCTGTTTTTTTTTTATGTATTCAGGCAGGATTTGTCTGTCAAAAAAAATTCCCTTTCGAGGATGCTTTGCATTGCTGTTGCTCATGCCAAGAGATCCTGGCAGAAAGTGTAGCGTAGCGTCTAGTGTTCTCTGGCCTCCTGAGGACGCCGAGGTCAGTGATATCCAGAGGGCAATGGGGAAGTAGCTGATGAATGCAGCTCAGTTTAAAACTGATGCAGAAATCACAGTCTGATTTTTGGGCCTGTCTTCTGCATCTAATTGATACGAGCCTGTGGGCTGCTTATGTTAACCCTTCACCTCAAGAGCTCCATGCAGACAATAGCTCCAGACTTGAATTGCAGAAGGGTTTTTTTTGTCGTTTTGTTGAGCAGACTGTGTTCGTAACCCTCAGGCTCTTTTCTTTCAACCCAAAAACCCACCTCAACAAGCTTCTGCTTTTCTGTGTGTCTTCTAGTTCCCTTCTAGCGCTTGTATCCACCTTATTTTTAGCATTGGAGCTGGAGTAACTTGAATGTGCAAGGCTTCCAGTGTCATTCACTTCTAATTATTTTACCTGTACAAAAAAGTCTGTTATGCTGCTTTTTTATTGCAAACTGGTGTTTATTGTATTATTTTCATTTATTATCCTAATCGTAAACCCACTGGTTTGTAGTGCAAACAGTTTTACTTTACATTAAGTTCTAGTTATTTATACATTCAAAGAAAATAGTTTACTTCTGTGTTGCTAAATAAGGTATTAAATGGTAATGTAAGATATTATGTATATGTATATCGTCACTAATGAATTATGGATGTAAATTAGCAATGTTTATATTTTCTATTTAACACAGATGTTTATTAGCACACTTTGTCCCTATTAAATGAACAAATATGTAAAAAAAATATATATCAATTACCAGCTTTGTTTCTCTTTCTCAACAATTATCCAATTTTTTTTACGATATTGTCACTTTTTATATTGTCGCAAAATGTAATTATATTATTACCCAACTCTTTATATGAAGTTGGATATATGTCCATTTCATCCACATACATAAAGTATACTCAGGTAAAGAAATATAAACTATAAAGCACATTTTTGCTGTGTGATTTATTATTTCATCGCAAAATTTTAATATTTTAAATTTGAATATTATAAACATAATTTTATGTAAAACTTCTTTGAAACAATGTACATTGTGAAAAGTGCTATACAAATAAATGTAACTTGTATGCACTTAGACATACATAAACTGCTTAGACTAGTCTTAAAAGATAGTTGTCTAATTTTTTTTTTTTCTGCAAGAATGGTCATAACTTTTTAAAAGTTACACATAAAGGTCCAATTCGAATCTGAAAAGTAAGACTGATAACCACTTTGTTATCTGCTAGTAAACTAGGTTAACTGCTGTCAAACTAGTTCTTAAGACAGTTTTAACATAGAGGCCCCTATCATACACCTGGCGTGACACAAGTGTTTTTTGCTAGTTTCAGCCCCACGCAGTTATCATTTTCATGTCCTGCACCACATTGTTTAAATAGCAAATGCATTTTCCAGGACTGGTAACCAGATGATAACTAGTTCAGTCCCTGCAAGGAGTGAATCATGAATTCTCAACATTGTGCCGTGTGTGCAATATTTCACGTAATTGAAACATTTTTTGCAACCTATTTAATTTTCTTTAACCCGTGCATTTCAGAGTTACAAAATAAAGAATAAATGCAATTTATGATGTGTTGAAAAGTCTCTGTATATGACAGGTGGTTGAAGTGTTTGAAATATAAGATGAACTGATGTTTCAGGAGTGAAGCAAGTTAAAAACATTGGTCCTGTTTATTTTCGTAAAGGAATAGTTCACCCAAAAATGAAACTTTGCTGAAAATGTCCTCAATCTCAGGCCATCCAAGATTTAGAGGAGTTTGTTTCTTCATCAGATTTGGGGAAATGTAGCATTAGGCTACATCAATTGCTCATCAATGGATGCTCTGCAGTGAATGGGTGCCGTCAGAATGAGAGTCCAAACAGCTGATAAAAACATCACAATAATCCACAAGTAATCCACACCACTCCAGTCCATCAGTTAATGTCTTGAGAAGCCAAAAGCTCCGTGTTTGTAAGAAACAAATCCATCATTAAGACGTTTTGAAGTAAAATATGAGTCCTCTATCCATAATAATGTTTCTTCCAGTGATAAAGCAGTCTGGTCTGAATCAGGAGAGAAATCTGCACAGATCAAGCACGGTAATCCACACGATTCCAGTCCATCAATTAACAAAGTTGTCTCATCTGAGTCAGGAGAAAAATATACACAGATCAAATAATGTTTACAAGCAAAAACAGTCCAAAACAATTCTAAACAAAAATGTCAGTGGATTATGATATGAGAGAACAACAGGGGATGTACTTTTTCACCGGAGGAAGCATTATTATGTATTATGGACTCGTATTTTAGCTGGAAGCAACAGTTTGAAGTTAAAAACATCTTAATGACAGATTTGTTTCTTACAAACACAGGTTTTGGTTCACAAGATGTTAGTTGATGGACTGGAGTGGTGTGGATTACTTGTGGATTATTGTGATGTTTTTATCAGTGCATGTTATTCCAAAAAAAACAAAGCATCTTCTTAATGTCCGTTGACGTTTTTTCTGCTCTCTGTGTCTCTCAGGGGATGTTCAGAGCTCTACCGCATCCCCATGGTGGAGTATAAGTTGGACAGTGAAGGAACGCCCTGCGAGTACAAGACGCCCTTCAAGAGAAACACCACCTGGCACCGTGTGCCCACCAGCGGCCAGCCTCTTCCCGATCGCATGTCGTGCCAGCAGATCCTCCAGCACGCTCAGACCGCCATCCCACGCAGCACCTCTTTCGACAGGAAGCTGCCGGATGGACCCAGGTATCGCATCCGTTTCAGATGCATGCTTTTGCGTTTTTCTCAATGTCAGTTGGATGAGTGTAACTGTGAATCCATCGCCTTCCTGAATCAACCAGATCTCAGGGTGTTAGAGTGCGCAAAAATACAGTAGGATGAAGACATGATGAAACTTTTTATTGTGTCTTTTCTGACATTTTATGTGTGGAGCTCTATGATTTCCATGACGCAGATGGAATTGCAAAATCCAGTAATATAAAAATGGAATTTACAGTAATGCAGAATGTCACCGAATTTGACAAATTTTGGATGAATAAATCAGAATATTTAAATCATGATATAGACTAGTGCAAAAAAGACTGATATTTATACAGTTGTGCTCAAAATTATTCATACCCTTGGTAAATATGATCAAAGAAGGCTGTGAAAATAAATCCGCATTGTTTATCCACTTGATCTTTCGTTCAAAAATATAAAAAAATAAAAGTGAAAGTGGGGGAAAATCACATTATGAAATAAATATTTTTCTCTAATACAGTAAGAGGACGTGTGTCTATATCGTCCTAATGCAAGGTGAGGAGGAGAGTTTGAGTGGATCACAGCTGGAGAACTGCAGAAAATAGCTGAGTCTTGGGGTCAGAAAGCCTCAAAAACAATGTTGTTTGGGAGGGTTTCAAGAAAAAACTAGAGAAGAAAATGCTCTCACCCAAAAACCACCTCCAGCATATTTATTTGCTAGACACGACTGGAACTTTAAACGGAACTGGGTTCAATGGTGAGATGAAACTAAACAAAAAAAAATTTAATTAAAACACTCAAGATGGGTTTGGTGCACACAGGGATAAAAAAGTACCATGTGTACAATGATATATACTGCTGGATCTTTAATGTTGTGGGCCTATTTTTCTGCCGGAGATCCTGGATATCTTGTTCAGCTAGATGGCATAATGGATTCTATAAAATACCAATGGATAAAAAATGTAAAACTGACTGTCCATGCTAGAAATCTTATAATGGGCCATGGTTGGATCTTCCAACAGGACAATGATCCACAAACAAACATCAAACTCAAAATAAAAATGGGTCACTGAGAACAAAACCAAGCTTCTGCCCTGGCCAACCCAGTTCCCCGAGCTGAACCCTATAGAAGAAGAGTGTGGTGAACTGAAGAGGAGAAGCATCAACATGCAGCTGTGAATCTGAAGGGTCTGGAGAGATTCTGGATGAAGGAATGGTCTCCGATCTCTTGTCAGATGTTCTCTAAACTCTTCAGGCAATATAGGTGAAGACTCAGAGCTGTTCTCTTGGCAAAAGGTGGTTGCAAAAAGTATTGGATAAAAGGGAATGATTAATTGTGACCAATGTGTATTAGAGAAAAACATTTATTTCATAATGAGATTTCTCTCCCATTTTAAATTCTTATTCTCCAAATGAAAGGTTAGATTTTAGTAAATTTTTAAAATAAAATATCTAAAGGATTGATGATACAGATTAATTTTCACAGCCTTCTTTGATCATATTTACCAAGGGGATGAATAATTTTGAGCACAACTGTATATGAAGTCTGCATTTTTTGTGTGTTTGCCAAAAATAATATAATTTGAATTTGATTAAAATAAAATCACATTAACAGATTTACGAATTCAACTGACTACTTTTAATTACTTTTAATATAATTTTATTAAATTATAATTATAATTGACATTAAATTGTACAAATTTCATGATTTCAAACGGAATAAAAAAATATTAAAACTGGAAAAAAAGAATCTACCAGTGCAGTAAGACAAAATACACTTATTTTCAAGAAACAGTCTATGAAAAATCTTAAATCTTAAAATTGAATGCAAAATTGCTTGAGTAAATGTATTTTATTTTTAGACATTTTAACTGGAAAACAAAGCAAAAATACTCATTAAGAATTTTTTGCTGTGCAAAACCCTTGTTCACGTAAAGGGAAAAAAGATTCAATATGTGAAATAAATATATTAAAATAGTTATTTTAAATTGTAGTAATATTTCACAATATTGCTGTTTTTACTGTATTTTGATCAAATGCAGCCTTGCTGCGCAGAAGAGACTTTAAAAAACATTCCAAAATCCTGCCTACCATTATAGAGTGTGTTCATTTTTAGAGCTTGAAAACATAATTTCCTTTTGGAAAATATAGTGAAGTTGTTTGCAGAATTGCTTCTTGAAGAAATACATTTGATTTTAAGGATTTAAGATATTTTAACTGCAAAATAAGACAAACATACTCATTAAGATTTTTTTGCAGTGCACAAACCTGATTCACATAAAGGGAACATTTATTCAAATATGTGACAAAACAACAAATATGTGAAATATATTGTCATGCAGCATTTTCAGTTTCAGCATGCACTGACAATTTACATTCTGCTGGAAAGTGTTGTGTTGCATTTCCGGTGTTCCTGGCAAACTTACTGACCCAGATCATAAATTCATCTTCCTGTATTTGGTATGCAGGCGATATGCCTTTCAAATATGGTTTGTTATAATGTGGTCATTTGTTCCTCGCGGTGTTGATGACCTTTCCAGCTCCTCTATGAGACGGCATGTGGAGAGAGCTGTGTAATGCCACACCACTGGACTCTCTTACCCTCTTATTAGTGATGCACTAATACTAACACTAAAAACACACATGCAAACACCTCTCACATTTTCAAATGCATGAAGTGATTAAATGTTTACCTTGAATGCAATGAAAAGTCCCTTTGAATAATTGGGTTGCATGCATGAATGTAAGATATTTACAGGCGTTAAAGGACATTTCTGCATCTGTCACAGTGATGTGTTAATATACTAGCATGCATATTGTCCAGAGGCATTGTTGGTGCTCAAAGTAACCCTGTCATTAGTGCATTCTGGTCTGTGCATTGTGACTTCAGACTGACGTCGGCGAGCTGAAATCACCTTCATGCAGTTCTCTTCCTCGTATTTTGCGGTTCTGGAAGGTGTGTGAGATGTATGCATGGAGAATGAGATCTGCTGCAGCTGACGGCCGAGAGGAAGCAAAAAAACAGGAATATCAGATGTTTTTTACTTTTTACGAGGGGACGTGCAATTGAATAGACTGGACTGCAGTTACGTTCAAAATAGCATGTTACTATAGTAATCTTACTATATTTGTAGGATGCATACTGTGCGTATCTTCTGTAAAACCCAGATGCACATTCGCCCACATGTCAAATAAATACAGGAAAAGGTTAATTGCAATAACATATTTAGCAGAAAACAAGGTTTAAATAAGTTTTAAACTGTTATTGATGTCAGGCTAAAGATATTAATACGATTATATTGATCATTTTTATGATCAATATTAATATTAAGTTTATTTATTATAATTTAATTTAGTATTAATGTATTGGTCCAATAAATACTTCAGTTAATATAAATCAATCAGTCAAATTAATTAAAATGATACTGACAGTCAAGTATTATTCAGTATTTAATATTCATTTCATGTATATATTCTAATTTTATTTATTAGTAATGTATTGGTCCAATTAATAATTCAGTTCATATAAACCAGTCAATGAATCAGTTAATAAAGTTGTATTGATCATTTTTATCATATCATTCAGTATTCGGTTAGTATTAGTTTAGGTTAAAGTTATTAATAAGATTATATTGAACATTTTATTATCAAATATTTTGAGTGTTTACTTAGTATTACTTTTGTTTGCTTGTTTAGTTTAATTTAGTTTATTTAATTTATTATTAATGTACTGACCTAATTAATCATTTAATGAATATAAATACATTTCTAAAATTATATATGATAATTATGATTAGGGTTGCAAAAAGGTGGAAAATGTCCAGTAAATTTATATTCCAGAAATTTTGGAAACTTTCCAGGATTTTTTGGAATATTCCAGGGACTTTTAGAAAGTTTCCGGAAATTTTCCACCCCTTTTCAACCCTAATTATGATCAAGTATTATTTAGTATTTTAATGTATTGGTCCAATTAGTAATTAAATTAATGAATCAGCCAATAACATTAAATAATAATAATAGTAGAAGTAAATATAATATTAATAATTGTAGTCTTAGTCATAGTCTTAATTTGCTTGTTCATTCTTTTTTTCTTTTTTTTAACTTTTTTTTTTTATATTGCTTATTTCTTTGTAAAGCGGCTTGAGAAGCTGCATTTAAAGGTGTAATATGGAATAAAATGTATTATTATTATTATTATTATTATTGATGCTTGCAACAGTTAAGAGACTGTGTGTTGCCTAATTATCCATGCCTCTTTATTTTATTTGATCATTTCTTTCTCTTTTCCTCAACGTTGATGAGAATGTCATGGTAGACCAAGCAATGCTGAATGTCGCACACAGTCTCCTGCGCATTAGCTGCTTCTGGGTCTGATTGGAGACACTCCTGTGAATCAGATCAGTCACCTGACGCTGCTGTCTTGCCTCTCTGATCCGCGGTTTGTTCAGAATGTGTGTTCCTCTCGCTGCAGGAGCATTCAGGATGTTGAGAAGCCTCAGATCTCGTCCTGCAGTAAAGGAGATGCGTCCCAACACTACCGCAGCTCACCCAGTAACCAGTCGTCCTCCAGCGACCCGGGACCCTGCGCAAGCGCCAGCTGGAACCAGCAGCCGGGATACGACGGGTAACACAAACTCATTCTGCTGGACGTATGACACACATACAGTTAATACGATTACATTGATCATTTTCATTATCAAGTAGGCTATTCTTTTAGTATTTATTTAGTAATAATTTGGTTTGTTTATTAGTTTAATTTAGTATTAATGTGTTGGTCCAATGGAAAACTCAAATAAAATAAATACATCAATAAATATATACACTACCGGTCAAAAGTTTAGGATCAGAATGATTTTTTTAAAGTGAAGTGAAGTGACGTGACATGTGGCACATTTCATTACACCAAATACACAAAATAATGTTCTTTTTAGCAGCATCATATGACCCCTTTAAGTCACACGTCTCGTCCAGCATTGACAAAAACTATAAACATCTGCAGACGTGAGCCACAGGATCTTCACACATTTCATTACCAGACTTTGTTGAATTCTTATTAATAACCCATGTTTTTCTATAACCAATCCCATTAAGGCTGGACGTTTTTTTAGCGTGTCCTCAAACGTGGCGACTTTGAGGTGTTTTAATCCAACTCTACATCTGTGCACTGCAACGAAAGCAGATTTCTGCATATCCCAGAAAAAACTCTTTTCATCATCCTCATTTGACTGATCGAAGTCATTTCGGCCGTTCCCCTGAGTCTGAGCTCTAGCTGGTCTCGTCCGCAGGTGTCAGTCTCCTGTGCTCCACGAGCGCTCGGCTGAAGCCCAGGGCATGCTGGGAGACGGGGAGATGCCGCGGGAGAGAGAGCCGACGCTGGAGAGGACACGCTCTGCAGGTGCCATTCACACATCCACAGCTTCACGCAGATCCTTCCCAACACTGAAGCGCAGACAGACATTAGCCACTGCACTGAAAGGATACTGCAGATTATTACGTGGTAACATGCTGGGAAGAAGAAAAAAAAAAAACAGGTTATTTTTAGGGCTGCTTGATTCATCTGAATAAAACCACACAAACTTGTTATAAAAAATAGAAACTTGATGGTTTAACATTTAAAGATGAAGAAATTAAGACAGCCAGAAACACTAACAATTTGTATTTAATTGTAATTTTACAATTGTACTGTACAATAAAATAATAATAATAATAATAGTATTGTTATATTTTTATTAAATACTTGTTTATATTTTACACTAAATTGTAATATTTCTTATTTTGTTTAATATTTTATCTATTATTATTATTGTTATTTATTCTGTAGACCAATTAATAAATAAATAAATAAATATATATATATATATCACAATATTTTGGGCCATTTTGTGTAACCCTACATACAAACACAGCAGGCTTGTAGCTTTTTTAAACATACTTGTTTTTTTATTTTACAGGGAATAGTAATATTTTTCATTTAATATTTTTTAATCTTGTAGTAGTAGTAGTAGTAGTAGTAGTAAATAATAATAATAATTCTTATTATTATTATTTTATTTTATTTTTTACATAGTCATATTAATATTGAATCACTATTTTTGGGACAAATTGTGCAGCCCTACACATTTTTTGTTTTGTTTTGTTTTTTGCATTTTAAATTACAAATACAATTTTTATCAGAAAAATCTCAGTTACTGTATTTTTTTATTCCATGCAGCTCGAGTTATTGTAGTCAGTCTGGTTTTTAGAATATTGAAGGTGATTAGTAGTTGGTCTAAGGAAGTCTACCAGCCTCAAGACTAGTCATCTAGACCAGTTTGCACCATCTACAGACCAGTTTGGAGCGGCTAGAAACCATGTTAGACAGTCAGATGTTCTGGGAATCTCCATGTTTATCCTTCAGTCTGTTTCTTCACAGAGGCGAAGTGGCACGTCCCTTCCACAAAGATCCTCAATTCCTTGAAGGAAAGAGGCAAGGATTCACCAAACAAGTTGACGCGGGTAAGACTATTCCCACATTTAACACTCCTGTGGAGTAGAAGTGATGCCAAGAACCATACATAAGCCCAACCATTAAATGTCTTTAAAACCGTGATTTACAAGCTTTTTAACTCCAAGGCCCTCCAGTGGCCCTCAAGTTTCCTCTGGCACATCTTCTGTAATTAAAGTTTTTTTTTTTTTTTTTTTATAGAAAGCAAGGAGTATCTATAGATTAAAATAGGTAACAAAATGATTATATTTCAAATTAAATATTGGAAATTTCAATTTTGGGTAAGTATTTTTAAATAATATTTTACTCAGAATTTCTTATTATAGTTAATAAAACAAAACACAGAGAAAAATAAATAAATAAATAAATAAACTTTGTCTTTCTCTTTATTTATTCCTTCCCTTTCTAGCTTGTACTTATTTGAACAATGCCTGAAACTTGGTATTACAAGCACTTCCTGTGACTGTTTGCCTCTTTAAGATGAATCGCTTTATGTATTCCCCAATTGTAAGTCGCTTTGGATGAAAGCGTCTGCAAAATGACTAAATGTAAATTTAACAGATTTATTAGATTTGGTTTAGGCTATACAGTGAAGACTATGCAGTGTTATTTTACATTTGATTATTCAATTTCTGTACCTGAATACTGTTAGACTTACTTGAAAAATATAAAATCATCTGGTGATTTTTTTTTTTTAATATCGCAATATATATATAGCAGAAAAACAAAATATCGCAATGTGAGTTTTTTCCAATATCGTGCAGCCCTAATTTCTAGTACTGGAAAAGTTATGAATGCTCATTTTTCTATTTATGCCAATAATTATGATAATATTTTCTAATTAGAATCATATTTTATCAGGTAGAGATTCTGAGCAATGTCAT